AGATTGAAATAACTTCAAGCAGCAATAGCATATTAATAAAGGATACTTAAGATAGTGGTGATTTGGGCCGACTGTTGGTAATGAGTAGCAGTCATAACCATAACATTAAATATGACCACAGCGATATTAAAGGCTTCATATCTTCTATCTTCAAAAAATACTCTTAACTTATTTTGCCAGCCAAACTATCAAGACATATTCAAAATGATATGGAATAGAATTTAGACAATTAACTTAAATAATCCAACAGTAGCACCAATAAGTTACTTTTCTACAGTAGTGTACGTATCTCACTATAACATTGAGGTTCATTTTAAGACTTTCCATAAAATATTAAGAACGTGAGGTGATGTAATTGCTTGAAAATATTGGGATTTTTAAATGTAATTGACCTTAGCTGGTGGTATTGATTTAACTAGTTTCGTTCGCATTAGCTTTTTCATCATCTTGTACCATTGCAATTGAGATTCGGTAAAGAGTGATTCAATATTTTTACCTTTTCGCATTTCATACTGAAATTTTAAAAGTAGACATTGCAACTATTAAAATTCGAATTTAAGTTATGTTCTATCATATTAATCAGTAATCTATTCCCAAATTATGATTTTTAATATATTCAGTCCGCTAGAAATTTTCAATTATGCTACAGAAGCATTATAATTTCATCGTCAGCTTTTCTAGCAGTCATTCCTTCAAAATGCGTAAAGAATTTAATGATTTTCCCTTGAAGTTGGATTACTACGTATACGGGATATAAAACTATGTATTGTGGCTGGTAGATATAGTACGATACAGCTAATGCCCAAAGATTGTAGAGGCTAAATGCTATTACTCAAATATGATCATGTTACTTGCGATGCTAGAATGCCATTTCGAAAAGGTGTATAGTGTACAGTATAAGCATGTAGTTTGATAAGTGCTAGTTTATCCTCTCTAATATTTCGTACTTGGCTGTTAATAATGTTATCTTACTCTCTACTATTTAGCGTAAATATACGTATATAGATAAAGTAAATCTAATACAGAAGCGAAGGCTATCGCTATATAATCACCGTAATGTAGGCAACACATTTCTGTAATTTTGTGTTGTAATATCCAATTTAGTCTTTATAATACTGTGCAATGATTTCAGCTAATTGTAGTAGTACAGCAGAGTGGCTAATAGGATGAGGCGGTGCACGCGTACTGTTTCTAGTATAAACTGGTATTCTCCCGTTAAGGCCGTATCTGATAGCCAAATTAGGGAATTACTCGATTTTGTAACACAAATTTTGGGTTTCTTTGGCGAACCAACAGTAGTAGCAGGAGACTATTACTCGGTCATTACATACTGTTCTGCAAGCTACTAATTATTTAATTAACAATATCGCATCATTCCTAGCCATTTAACATAAAACTCCTTTAAAACTTTATAATATCATCTTAGCATTTACAATAATTATTGTAGCTATTATCTTATCTATTTTGAATACTTAAAAGTGAAATCAACCGCTAATATCTGCTAAATCTTAGAATGATTCACTATATTTTTAATAATTATTAAATAATTTGCATAAACAAATTCTGCAAATACTTGGACATCAACCACAACGTCTATCAGCTTAAAATTTTCTGATAGGAGTCTAATAAGATTCCAAGCAAAATATGTTGGACGAAAAATTATCAGCTGGAGGTAAGCTACTTACGTTGAATCAAGTGTTAATCATACCATAAATTCTGTCAAGCGATTTTGTAAATTTTCGAGAACATTTAGACGCTTTTTTACGGTACATTCGCGTATATGCGGTATCAAATCAGCATTTAAAAATAATTCTTTAGTTTTATAACTACTAACCTCCTTCCTTGAATTATAAAAGTGATCAATGATGACTCCAGCAATTAAATTTAGTGTTATAAACACTCCAACAACGATAAAGAGAATAATGAAGATTCGAGCTGGAGTATTAAAAAGAGCTTCTGGCATCAAATTCCTCTATGTAAAGAAAGACAATGATAAATTAGGAATTCATGCTAATCACCGACACTTAATTAAGTAGCATCATAGTATAGCTGAATTAAACTAAAAATATCTTCAATTTCTAATTGTCGATTAATATGTTTAATTCTGTTATGATGATTATAATATTGAAGGGAAATTATAGTGTCATAATCTTATTACACCGCGAGCGTCGACGGCGTTTCGCATAATTGCCTTCCAACCATCCAAAGTTGCAATATGCAGTAACGCTAATAAAGCATTGCCTAAATTATCAAAATTAATACGATATGGTTCCCAGAGATAGCCGTACATCAGACAATCTGTTCGGTTGGTTATATAATTAAAGGTTACAGATTTCAAATGCGAATTGACGCATCTAGA